TCTAGGTACAAATCCTGACTCCATCTCTTAGGCTAAATCCCAATCTCTTTGTGTCTCACTTTCCTCATTGGCAAATGAAAGACTAGTACTAGATGGCTTCTAAATTCCCCCCACTAGTCGTACATTTTTGATCTTATGAACCATAGAGTCATGCTTGACTCAATAATCAATCAATCACCTAGCATTTATTTATTCCTAATGTATGCCAGACACCATCTTTGGCATTTAATACAAAAAAGATTTTAAAAAAAAGAAAAATAATCTTACTTCTCCTTACTGGGGAGAGGGCACATAACATGTACATATATGTGTATACTTATATATGCATATACACATGTATGTGTATCACATATTTACATGCATAAATACACCCATCTATGTATTGTGTATATGTCTATAGTGTCAGTAGAAAAGCAATTTAGGGAGAGGCATTAATATCTGAGGGGACCAAGAAAAGCTTTATGGGGTAGCACTTGAGTTTTGAAAGGAGCTAGTTATTCTATAAGGCACTGGTGAGGTAGAAATAAATTTCAGGCATGAAGGGTAGCTTGTGCTAAAGCCTGGCAATGGCAGATAGAATATTGAATGCAAGTCATAGCCAGTAGGCCAGCTTCTATATAGAATGTGTGAAGGTGAATAAGGTGTAATAAGCCTGGGAAAATGGGCTGAGCCAGACTGGGAAGAACTTTGGATGCCAAACAAAAATATCTTATCCTGGGGGCAATAGGGAGTCATTGGAAGTTTTTGAGTAGGAGATGAAATGACCTGTTGTATTCATACTTGTCTTCACAATTAGATATCTTGCATGGCATCTCACACATAAAAATGCACTTAATAATGGTTTCCCCATTTGAGCTGCATTCTTCTTTCTACTCATTTGTTTGAAAAGTACTAAATGCTAAGCACATAACACTGAGGTAGGCCCTGGGGGTGCTAAGATCAAAGTCAATACACTTCCTCTTCCCAATGAGCTTATAAATGAATATGGAGGATATGATAAATATGGTGCAAGATAATACTTATAGAAGCAAAGGAATGAAACCAGAACCAGATGAAGAAATATGAGAAATTCTTTTTAAATAGGGGAGGGGAGAAAACTCAATGGATTAGGTGACTTCTGAACTGGGCTTCTGAAGGAAGAGGAGATTTTCTCCAGACAGAAAAAAAGGAAAGAGTGCATGGAAATACAAGAAGACAGGACGGTCTCTAGGAATATAGGAAGTGCAGTGCAGTAGGTAAAACACTGGGCCTGGAGTCAGTTTGAGATCCCAGCTTAGTCACCACCTATGCAACCCTTGGTAAGTCATATAGCTTCTTGTTTCCTCACCTAAAAATGATGGGGTTAGACTTCATGACCTTTAAGATGCGTCTCTCTATAAGTCTGTGATATCATTCTAAGCATGACTGCCACATATAGTCATAAAGGGGGTAGGGTGAGATAAGGCTGAAAAAACTGGCTGCAGTCAGTTTCCCATAAGGTCAGGTTGGGAAGCTGATTTTTAAACAAATTCAGCACTTTGGGAAACCAAAACGACCTATGAGTGAGCTCCAAAGAGTGGCCACAGCCCTATATTACCCATGTTAAAAGGAAACAGGTCTTGGATCAGACCCCTTAGGAACTCCTTTTCTGAGTGTGAGATGGCCCTCTCTTATTTCTTCAGTTCTTTATCATCAAGGAATGAGATATACGCGGCCCCTGATGGTGACTTTCTCCCTGCTATGGCCTCAAGGCACAACTGTCTTCATGAAAATATGCCAACCCCCTACTTCTCTTTCATGTCCTAGGTGACCCACCCACCTTTTATAAGGCCCCTGCCCTCTTGAAAATCAGAAATCTCTCTTTCAAGCCCTACCCTCTCCCACTCTCAGCAGCTCTTTACTTCCCCTTCAATTACCTTTCCTCTCAGTCCCAGAATGCTCTGATCCCCTTCTCAGGGCATGCCCTCCATTCCTTTCATCACTTTTGTAACCTGGCTGGGAGGCTGTTCTGGTAGACTGATGTCTTTTTTTGTATCTAATGGAAGCCAAGAATTGTTCCCAGTTCTGTCCTCAAGTTATTCTGAGACCTCTTTCTTAACATTAAGTACACAGGACAAGTCCCAGGGCATGTAAGATGGGCTGGGTTAGTGACAGTTCACCCTGCCGCTCGGCTTCAGCTGGGTAGCCTTTGCAGTGGCTCATAGTAACTGCATTTCCACATCTGTGGAGAACTGTACAAGTAACAGAAAGTGCCGGGAAAAAATCGACTGTTCTGAAAACATCTATAAATCAAGCATGATCTGAGGAACAGACCTAGGATACCTTTAATTTGATACCATTAAGTCGCTCTGGGTTTCCTAATTCCTAATGAGGTCTTTGCTTGTTCTCCCTGCTCAAAAAATGCAAAAGAAGTGTTCACAACAGGTGTCACAGTATATCCCAAATAATACTTTACTCTGGCAAGAAATCGTTTAGAAATCACAATTGAGCTATCCCATACCATAGCCAACATTTCTATCTCTATGCCCTGAGACTAAGCCAACTCATCCCTTGCTCTCTCTTCTCTCATGCCCTTCCCCAAGGGCTCAGCATGGTCTCACATCAATTTCTCCCCCTCCCTCTAGATAAAATGGGTTACTTTCATATGCTTGATTTCATTCTGCTTTCTCCAGCTTCCATGATTTCACATAGGCCATCTGTTTCCCAAGCACTCCTTCTATATCTCTGCCTGTTAGAATTCTGCTTGGCCTTCAGAGGGGCTTCAACTCAATCACCAAACCATTAATAAGTACCTCCTGTGGTTCAGCCCCCGTGATACATGCTGGAGATACTAGAGCCAAAGAGAAATCTGTCCTCTATCAGGGGAGATTCCTCTTTCTATATGCAATGTGTGCCTGGAGCTTGCTAGAGACGTCTCCAGTTGGCCCACACACACACCACCTTTAGGCCAGGACATTCCTAGTCTCCCTCACCTCCAACTCAAAACATCAGTTAGATTACTGAAGCTCTGAGTTCCAATTCCCCCCATTCTTTATTCTGTCATTCAGTCAACTAGCTTTTATTAAATGCCTACTATGAGCCAAAATATTGGGAATGCAAAGAAAGTGGAAAAACAGCCCAGTCCCAGGTTTCAAGGTGATCACCTCTAATCTCAAGCCCTCTAAATCTTGCCATCCCCCACCCCCAACATGGAACCCTTAGGCCTTCTGGCTCTTTCTATCTGCCCTGCAGGTGGGCCTCTTTTGTGGTGTCTCTCCCAGTTAGAACGTGAGCTTCTTGATCAGAGACTATCTAGCTTTTCCTATCTTTATTCTCAGCACTTGGTGCGGTGTTTGGCTCCTAAAAGACACTTGGAGAAGGCTTTCTCATCAGCAATTCATTTATTCAACTCTCCTTTGTTCTTACAAAACTCATTCATCTTTATAAAATTACTTTATCCAACATTATATTTTCATGGAAACAATTATTCCTATTAGGTGATATTTGCCTGTATAACTTCCAGGACTCTTAACATAGAGCAGGGATAAAATGACTTAATAAAAAAGAGAATGTCTGTTTATAATCCACCATAATTTATTTCTCATGTGCCCATCTGAAACCCTGAGGCCATGTTTTTAAGTTTCCATTTAAAGTGACTCACCCCAGGGGTCACTTAATGGTCTAAAGTTTTAGTTAAGGAAGATGCATATTGCAGATGATTATTAATACACTTACTGTCTGTCCTCGGTGTCATATTATCACTGCCCAGAACTTTATTAAGCTTTCACTTTTCTCCCTCCCCTTTATCAGCCTTTCCAAATGGGTGGTGTTTCAGAATTCAATAGGCTATGAGGTTTTATCTCTTCTGACACTGGCTTTGCAGTTAACATTTTGAAAAGCAGAAAACAACCACCCAATGATTGCAAAGTCAAAGTTTTTCACATTTGCTGGTGAAATAGCAAATGGCATTTGAGCAAAATGCATCTCCTTTCTAGACCCTCTTCACAAAGTTGACATAAAAACCAATGCCAACCAAGCTGCCCAAGACAGGCTAGAAAATTCGGTCCATGGTAGAAAACAGCCTCCAGAGACAGCTCAATGGAGCTTGACAGAAAGAGGAAAGAGAAAATGGGTAGATCTGTAAAAAGCCCAGCACGGACTAGAGAAATCCATTGCCCTTATTTGTGCATTTAGTGGAACTCAACACTTAAACAACAACTAAGCTAACTTTAGTCATCTTGTCCATATCCTCCATCAACTGACCCCCTCATCCATCAATATAATAGTAGAGCATGCTTGTATATTGACTCTTCTAGTCTCAACTCAATGATCTGTTTACTTATGTGATAATTTCCGTAAGTACTGGAGGCTCTTAAACCAAATGAGTCATTAAAATTGACCCTAATATTAAGTAAATAAATAAGTAGCCTCAGGAACCAAAAAATAAATACAAGCACAATTTGTCACCTTGCCAGGATCGACAGATGTACCATTTTGGTGTGCTAAGACAGGCTGAAAGTGTGTCTCTCAATAGGGTAGCTATCAACATCAGAGACAATTTTGAGAATAATTGTTTTTTGATAGATCTCGAAGTAGTGGGAGGAAGGAATGTGTGGAACTGGGAGGTGAGAGAAGGAAGGAAAGGGCCCCCCTGACCTTTGAAACAATTTCACTGTGCCACGTCACAGACACCACTAACATCACAGAGGTCTTGAGTACAGCAAACTTCTCTGTTTCTAAAACAGATTAAAATGTTCTGGGTGCCCCAGCACTATCAAGGTTCACGACAACATAGCATTTCAAAGTGAAAACAAAGACACGCTTAGAGAACGAAGTTTGGTGCCCCCAAGGTTGTATGATGATGAATATCAGTCCCATCTCTTGCTGCACCTCAAACAGCCAGCAGACCCAAGGCAGTCTGAGCCTCACAATCAAGAAGAAAAACAACCCCAAGAAAAACTCCTGGCAGTGGAATTCCAAGTCCAGAATCTCACCTGGCCAAGTTCTACCACATTCTATGACAAATAAACTGACTCACTGACCTCATTGATGAATGTCTGGGCCCCATGAGGACTAAGCAGCAGGATTGCCCGACGTAGGGTATCCCGGTAGCGATTTAGTTCCTCAGTCTTCATGGTGGTAAAGAGGCTGGTGAATACCCGGCTGATATTCCTGTCCACCTTTTGTAAAGATACATCAAGCCCCAATCTGGAGGCCTGGTCCAGAAAGCTCTGCAACCCACGGATATCTAGAAAAGAGAAGAAGGGAAAGGTGAGGTAGAGGAGAGAATATGGAGAAGGGAGAAAAGAAAAGATTGAGGGAATGAAGAGAAAAGATCAGGGGAGAAAAAAGAAAGAAAAACAGAGACAGACAGACAGAGAGAGAGTGAGAGAGAGAGAGAGAGAGAGAGAGAGAGAGAGAGAGAGGGAGGGAGGGAGGAAGAGAGAGAGAGAGAGAGAGAGGGAGAGAGAGAGAGAGGGAGAGAGAGAATATATCATTAGGAAATCCATTAAATCATCTGCTTACTCAGGGCCCAGCCAAAAACAAAAGAAAACCCTGATATGTGTGAATCAGTGTGCAAAGTTTTGTGTGGAATATGAAGTTTACCTACCTTCATGAATTTTACAATTTAGTAGTGGGAAAACATGTAGAAAATTCTAATGTGCAGGGTGAGGTAGTCTAAAGAGTGTAGAATTTGGACACAGATGTCCTCATTTCAAATCTCACTTCTGACATTTAATGCCTGTGAGATACTGGGTAAATCACTCAACTTCTCTGGTCCTCAGTTTCCTCATCTGTAAAAGGAAGGATTGGGTAGCTGAGTGGTCAATGGCTAAAGCCCTGGGCCTAGAGCCAGGAAGACCTGAGGTCAAATCCAGCCTTGAACATGTACTATCTGTGTGACTCTGGGCAAAATCACTTACCACTCTTTGCCTCAGTTTCTTCATCTGTAAAATAAGCTAGAGAAGGAAATGGCAAACTACTCCAGTATTTTTGCTAAGAAAACCCCAAATGGAGTAATGAAGAGTCAGACATGACTGAAACAACAATAAAAAATGAAGAATAATGCTAGATAGCCACTGGGGTGTCTTCCAGCTCTAAACTGAATCTCTGAGCATCTTCATACAACAGAGAAGAATAAAGTGAAGAGTGAATGTTATGAAGCCCTTGGGGGTAAGCTCATCATGGCCAGGATGTGAGGATCAGGAAAGGCTTCCTAGAAAATAAGTTAATATTTCAGCTACATTTTAATGAGAATGATGGAAATAATAATGCTGCTCATAACTAGAATTTGTTTTCATAAAGAAAGATTTAGGATGGCAAGTCGATACAAGATCATTGCCACCAATGATTAGAGACAGGTTATCCTTGAAGCACCTGGGTTTACTGATCAATAAAGATCATGATAAGAAACAGTAGAAATAGCAATGTATTATGGCAGGCTGCAAAAATTTAGCACTTATAGGATACCTAGCAAGACTGGATTTGACAGCTAGAATTAAAGAGAGAAGTTCTCTTTTATGGACTGATAAAACAAATCCTTCTCCTGCAAATGCGACCCTCAAAATATCCTTGAAAATTTGACAAATAGATTGTAATGGAATTACGGCATTTTCACAGATAAAACCTGAGTCCAAAATTGCCTGGAGAAAGTACTGATCCAAAGAAATTTAAGGAAAAAAAAATTAGTAGATGCTGCTATAGCAAATACTCATAATCTCCTATGAGTGAAATTAGAAGGAACAAGAGAAAGAAAGTCTTCCAAAACATAGAGACCTAGCAGAAATCAAGATTATATGAGTACAAGATAAAATGTATATCACATCTGCTCTTCTGTAAGCCCCAGGAACTGTCCCTGGAACATTTTCAGGAAGCCCACCAGAGATGAACTTAAATCACAATATTTTTATTCAATAACAAAAAGGAAAAATGTATTTCTGCATCATAATTTATGGAATATTGAAAATAAAAGAATAATAGTAGGAGAGTGTGTCATCCACAATTGCTGCTTACCAAAGTAGGAGAAATTCAACACTTTTTTTTCTATCTCCAAAAGGAGACACGAGAAGGGGGCATGGGGAATCAGATGAATTCTTTCTGATTAATTGTATATTGTTAGAATGACCATTTGATTTTGAAATTCTATACTTGGAAACTTCAAGAACTCTCCAACCTCATTGGTATGAGTAAGTCCTCCAAAAGCACAAATAACAACTGTGGCATGACTTCCTATCCTGTGGAATTCTGGGTCATGTTCTCCCTAAGGTATATGGCCCACTGGATATAGCACTAGACAGTGAATCAGGAAGAATTGAGTTCAAATCAAGCCTCAGATGCTTACTGGCTAAGTGACACTAGGCAAGTCACTTAATCTTTCTGTGCCTCAGCTTCTTTATCTGTAAAATGGAGGTGAAAATAGCAAAGATCCCCGAGGGTTTATTTTTGTTTTTGGTGAGGATCAAATGAGATATTTGTAAAGTGCTTTACAAACCTTAAAACAGTACATGAAAGTTATTATTGTTATAAATAATAATAATCTTACACAAAAGATCTATTTTGACAGTGTGTATAATGGATAGAGTGTTGCATCTGGAGTCAGGAAGCCCTTAATTCAAATCACATTTTTTGCCCTTCCTAATGTATGATTAGAAATAATTTACAACCACTCTGACCCTCAGTTTCATCATCATAAAGCAGAGCTGACAATAATATATTCCTGCCTACCTTACATGGTGGATCATGGTATCATATGTTTAGAGCTACAAAAGGCTGTAAAAGTGATTTACTTCAGCTACTTCCTTTTACAGATGAGGAAAGAGAGCCTCATTGAGGTTTAATGACTTTCCCAAGGTCACGGAGCTAGAAAATTGCAGATCTGAGAGTTAAACCCAATTCCTCTGACTCCAGTTTTCTAGGTCATTATACCACGGTGAAGCATTTTGCAAAACTTTTGGACACTATTTGGATTGCAGATATTATTGCCCAACATGCTAGAAGCTTTCCTCTACAATATTTTTTGTGTCTTATGTGTACCAGGGTGGTTTTTAAAATAACCAGCATTGCATTTAAAATAACTAGCATTGCATTTCCCCCTTAAACCAATTTTTGTCCTAACCTACACACACACACACACACACACACACACACACACACACACACACACACACACACACTCCTAGTCAAATTTCACCTATCCCATTTCCTGTGACCTTGGACCCTTTAACCTCATAAACTTCCCCATGTTCATCTATGTACCTTATGACTAAGCCTTTGGGCATTTAAAGTTCTTTAATAATGAAAAAAGCAGAAGCATCTCATAGATGGCAAATGTTTTGTTCCTATTCAGTCTCTTAGCAGCTCTATTTTGATCAATTTGAATTCAGCCTGCCATTCATCTGTCATCAGCCATCCTTGAGGGAGAATTACAACAACGCCTGGCTGTACTCGCCAAAACTGGGGAAACCTCAGAGAGAGATCCACGCTCAGCAAACTATAGAAAACAAGGGCCCTTTACAGCAGTAGGTTGGGCCCTCATTCGAGTATCTTCTGCACAGAAGGAGGCCATGCCAACAGAAGGTCTAAACTGGAATCTAAGGGTCAATTCATCTATTTAACTGAAAATTACACCACAAAATCAGATGACTCACTTATTTCCAGAAATCAAGGACAATCAGAAGCTCGAGACACTAGCCACCAATAGAACCCAGGTTTGTTCCATTGTTATTTAATGAAATGACACAAATTTAATTGCACAGAGAATAGTTCTAATCTCATTTGCCAAATGAAGAAGTCTCTTAAATCACTTAGAGCCAAACTTTAGAGCCACCATCCAACATAGCATGCATTTATTAAGCACCTACTATGTGCAAAGTTCCATGACCCAGACTCTAAACCTAAGAATCCACGTCCAAACTGTGACAAGGTTTGCTAATTTCTACAATGCAAGTGCGGTCACAGTGGACCTAGACTCAAATCCTGTTTCTCCCTCAGTCATCTTTCCCATCCTATATGACCTTCACTTTAGAAGTCTTCTACAGCTAGAATCCTAGCCAGGCATGACCCCACCCTCCTTGTATAATAACACTTGGCATGGATAGAATACTTTAAGGTTTACTGAGCACTGTACATACACTCATTGTTGACATTTACACAATAATCCAAAGTTTGCAATCACTTGACAAACATTGTTTCTTTGAGTCTCACAACAACCCTGTGAGGTGGGCACTAATATTATTAATGGCCCCATTCCGCCAAGAGGTAAAATGACTTGTCCATCATCACTCAACTAGAATTGTCAGTTGCAGGACCAGTCGTTGGGTATTTCTCAATTGCATGTTCAGCACTCTTGAAAGTGCATTGCCCTGTTAATGTGGAAATATGTTTTCCATGGCTTCACATGTATAAGGAGCATTATATTGCTTGCCTTCTCAATGGATGGGGGAGAGATTAGAGGGAGGAAGAGAATTTGAAATTCAAAATTAAAAAAAATAATGTCAAAATGACTTAAAAAAAGAAAAAGTATTGTCCAGGCTTTTTATCTCATTCTGTTTGTATAAACAATCCTGTTAGGTAAATGCTATGGCCATTACTATTCCCATTTTACAGAGGAGAAAACTGAGGTTTAAGTTATGTAGTTTGCCTCATGTTCACACAGACAGCCAGTGAATGAGACAGGATTTGAACTCAGATCTTTGCTGATTCCAAATTCAGAGCTCTCCCCATCACACACACACACACACACACACACACACACACACACACACACACACACACACACACACACTGTGCTGTCTCCTCTTGGCATGGGCCCTTCTATTCATGGAGTCAACTTCAACCCATATCACAACTATTTGGAAATATGCCTGACTTGTAAGTGCCTGGAGGGCAGTGATCATTTGTCCCTCATCCTTGCATCTCCAGAGTCTGGCAAGGTTTCTGAATCCTAGCAGGGCTTAATAAACGTTGGCTCTTGCTGCTGTGGACAAGCCCAGACTTTTCGAGAAGCAGAAAGGTAGACACAGAACCGAGATAGATGGCAGATGGTCCGAAGGCCCTAAACAGGGCCATCAGAGCAGTTAGAAGAATGCAATGGAGACTTGAAGTGGATGTGAAACTGGAGAAGATTTGATTCTATCGCAGCCCATTGGTCTGAGAAAGAGCTCACATTGATTTCTAGACTGTGCTATGGTTCTCAAAGCACTCAGTTAACAAGGATTCTGTAAGGTAGGTAAGTGTACACAACTGTGT